ACAAACCCAAAATAGCGCTAAATACTCTTCAAACCACACTTCTAAGTTATAGAGACAGACACTGGTGCATTTTACTATAAAGGCAATTTATTGGAGAACTGGATACGATAGACGGGCTGGGAGCACGGTGGGAAAGAAAAGACGTAGAATCTACCAGTGGTACCTTAAAATTACTTGTACAATATATTTTTTAAGGCAATAACACATGAAAAGAACACACATTTTTTCAAAACTGTAACCAAAAGAAAGGAGGAAAACATCGTACGAACGTATTATTTGTAATGTTAGATTATCGAATAATGGAGTTGACACGTCCTAATTGTTTTTTTAGTCAAAGTTTTAACAATGTACAAATTTTAAGTCAATATTTCTTATCTGCTGAAAAGGAAACGTTTCTTTATCAATAAAAGACAAGAGAACAGTTAAATACAATAGAAAATCGTCTAGAATAAAAAGAAAAATCAACTTTTGATATACACAAATTGTAGTTTTTCACGCTCAAACCGAAAATAGATGAATACACACAAAAAAACTTCTTTACAGTTGTGACAACAATTTGCACAGATAATTTTTCATTGAAGGAGTTAAACAGCACATACATCAACAACATCGTTCAATTAAAACAGATGTACATTGTACTTTTTTTTTTAAACAACAAAACCCCCAGAAGTTTACAACTCCTTTTACTAAATGTAGACGTGTTTATCACGCCAATTGACACAAATTAAGATCATGTAGGACGCATACTAAGCCTATTCCTATCAGGACCAACCTGGGCTGAGATAGATACAAAGTGCAAGCAGACTCTATAGAAATGCTCCCCACATGGGAATCAAACTTGGGTCTTCTGAGTGCAACAGCAAAGCACCAGCTAACCATTGCAACACAGGCTCTGGTTTCCATACACTTAGCTTCCCTGTAGGGGATTTTGTAAAGATTCTGTCTTTTCCTTGTAAAAAAGGGGAAAACAATTGAGGGCCAGGGACTCGTCTTCCTTCAACATCAATGAAAACTACATTGGCGGCAATATCAACAAATTATAACAGGATAAAAGGAGGATACCTCTGGCTATTACAGTTTAAGAATACAAATATTGACGGGTATAATTATAGGAACGTCCCCCAACCCCTTCCCTCCAATTTGTTTCTAGATGAAAATAAACATTTTCATAAAAATTGATTCATAAAATCAAACAAAAAATGTGCGTATAATATAAATTTGGAGGTTTTAAAAACCGAAATCATAATACTATATCATCATCATCATCATCATCATCATCATCATCATCATCATCATCATCATCATCATCATCATCATCAGTGCCTTTCTCCCCTGGCAGGGTATAGGTCACATACAAGCTCTCTGTTCTGGGCCATCCTTCCAAGCTCGTTCCAAGTAAACTTCATCTCTCCCATGTCCCTTTCCACACATCTCCTCCATGTTTCCCGGGGCCTACCCCTGCCTCGTGCTCCCTATGTGTTTATTACATAATAACATTTACGAGTATCAAAATGTGCATGTGACTTACAAAACTGAGTAAATATCTCATCTTTTAAAAAGAGAACATTACGTTCGCTGACATTTCTTTGCTTTTAACACCCCCCCCTGAACACGTCATGAGACGGTGAGGCCAAACTTAAACAACGAAGAACACACACAACCTCTAGCCCACTTAAACAAACTCCCACACACACT